TGGTGGGGGGGAGCAGCAGCACCCGCCTGCCTGGCTCACCTGTGCTATACTGAAGGGTTTCCTGTTCCAGCACAAAAGGGATCTAAGTTTGTCCATACAAACTTCAGGGAAATCCCGTGCAAGCTGCACCGAAGGAGCAGGATGTCTCAGTCCCTAGATTTGCAAATGGATGCTCCTGCCCCATGACAAATATGGTCCTTAAAATTCCCAGCTTAAGTTTCAGCTGCTTGCTGCTCGGAGCTCAGTCCTGACGTACTTGACAAATGAGACAGCCTAGGCTGCAATTCTCCATGGGCTGCTACACACAGGTGGCCCCCTCCCTGCCCGGCCGCACCTCCTTCCACTTGGGCCTTTTCCCCGTGGAGAGCAGCCCACTGTCAGCGCTCAAGCAAGTCAACCGTAGGGAGCAGGAGGCAAGGGAGGAAGCTGGTTTCATTTCAAAATGGCAAACCCCCGCCTGTCCCAGCTGCCGGTCTGCACCTTGCTCTGAGCTCTGGGAGGAGCCACACTTTGCAGCTGGGCTGGCTCTGCTGGGCCCCGTGTCCTCTGGCTGCTGCTGGCTACCGGGCACCTCAGAGGGACCGTTGTCTTGTACAGTGTCGCCCGCACCTAGAGCAAAGAAAAGCAGGTTTGAAGCACTCACGGTGACAGCGGCAACGGACTGCAAGGAGCCAGGCAGCAGGTCTGTGTGGGGAGGGGAGGAGGAGGGCCGTGGAAAGGAGCAGCAGAGAGTCAAGAGGGATGGGGAAGCTGCCCCAAGAGCCAGTGGCCACCCAAGTGAAGGCAGGTAGCAAGGAGGGTTCATTACACTGCACAACCCTCCTGATGCTGACCTGCTCTGGGGGTGGTCTCCTTGCTGCCTTCCTCCTCCTCAGGCGCGGTCTCCTTGGGCTCTGCTGCAGCCTCTGGCATCGTCACCTCGCGTCTCTCAGATGGGACCTGCTCAGCTCTGGTGAGCTCACCGAGCATTTCTGCTGCTCCAGGTGCTTTCGCATCCCCTGTAGGGGAAATGCCGACAAGCAGACATACTCCCTTCACTTCTTGTGAGCAACAGAGGGCCAAAGCAACCAGCTCTCCAAGAGCCCAGCCAATGGCCAGGGCAGCCAGGAAGGCAGCCGCTAGCACCAGGTGCTAATTGTCTCAGGATGCTCTCAACACGCACTAAGGGAACAAACGCTCAGTAGCAGCCAGGGATGCGTGGCATGCTCGCTGGGGCCAGGCAGGCGCAAAGCCCCACCTCTACTTGAGGAAGCTGAGGTCAAGGGAACAGCTCTAAGGCAGAACTCACAAGTGGCGACACTGAAATGTACAGCATGTGTCCGAGCAATCTGACCTCAGCACCCCAAGTCCCCAGCTGATCCCGGGTTCTGCTGCTGCGGGGAGCCCAGCATCAGCTGTGCAGTGGCTTCCCCTTTGAAACTGCAGCCTCCGCCCGTTTTAAAGGGGCAGTGGAGCCCGGGGTCAGCTGGGGAGTCCATGTGGCACTTGCCTGGAACCTGGGATCAGCTGGAGAGTCCCCAGCTGACCCCGGGCTCCACTGCTGCCTCTTTGAAAGGTGCACAGGTGGCATTTCAAAGGGGCAGCCACCGCACAGCTGGTCTGCGGATCCACTGTGCAGCACTGCCACTTTAAAGTAACCTTTTCCCCCTTTGCTGCCTCTATCTTAGCAAAGGGGGTGTGGATATCAACTAGTCAAAATACTGTCCGATAAGCAAATGCTTATTGGATAGTTGACTAATCTTTTACATCCTTGGTGCCAAGACTGATTTGGAGCCACAGCGGGCGGAGCAGCCCCTGACGAGGAGTGGGCTGTGCTGGGCCTCTGGTAAACTGGCAGTGCTTTCCCAAAGCCTGGGCGTCCATGTTCTGCCGTCACAGGTGCAATGTGGGAGTGACCTCACCTGCCCAGGCTTTACGTTGCTTCTGGAAGGGAATGGCTCTCCCCTGACGGACTAGCCGCCCTGGTCACTCCCGGCTACAGGACAGCTTATTGCCGTCACAAATGGCTGAGGATGGAGCCATGCTTAGCTTCTCCTCTCAGCTCCTTCCTTCCAGGTGTAAGAACCATTAGCAACGGATCCACACTATGGAGAGCACTCAAATCCTGATTAAACCAGCACCCCTGAGAAGAGTCTTTCTAGCGCACCGCTATCGGAAGTGGGACGCCCTGGGGCTTAAGAAGACTGCCTACCTGTCACGGCAGGGACCTTGTGGATTTCCGAACTGGGTTCAGCTGACACCGTGAGTGACTTCAAAGCATTGCAAGCGCTGACAATTTCCTGCATCTGGAGGAAACCAGCAACTGCTAACACATCTTCCACATTCTCTGGGCTCAGGCTGAGCTTGGCAGTGTACATGAACTCCAGTACCTGACCAAGGCCTGATCGAAAACAGGAACAAAATAAACACAAATCAAAGCTCTAGAGAGGAGTAGTCTCTCATAGAAAGCTAAAGGCCAGAATTTTTCAAGGGATTTAGGTGGCTGGAGGTTTCAGAGGCCCTAACCTATGTATGAAAATAAAAATAACTGAAAAGCCTACCCCAAACCAAACCAGAGTCTTACTTTCTAGGTAAGAGTAACAAATTTTACTTTAACCAGTGATGCCACTTTTAGTGTTAGATTAGCACAAGGGGATGGGAGAAAGTATAATTTTTCAGGGTAAAATACATAAAATATGGAACTCAGAGAGTGTGATTGTCTGTCCTCTTATATTGATCCTTTTTACAATTTATATATTTTATACAAAGTGTACCTTGTGAGGTATCATTTGAAAACTCATAATCTGCTGAATGTTATTGTCCTAGTAAATATGTGTGGCAACTGTTTATAGTAGAATTTCAGAACTTTCCATACACAACGTGTTCACAGTCAAGGGAAGCAGCCCAAAACAATTTACCAGAAACAAAAGGCAAATTGACATTTCCACTGAGTGTCCACTAAATCAAATGGTCCATTACCTGGGTAAGCTGGCATTCTTTGGCACGAAAAAGGACATGAACAAGAAGTTTACATCTTAGTAATAGAACAGCTAGGGATTCTCAAGCAAACAGACTGGCTGTCACTTGAATCCCCAGCTAGAGATGAGTCTCAAAGAGGAGGAAAAGATATAAAAATGAGGAACAGAGACCTCAAATCACGTCTCACCATTTATCTCTACTCACAGCATCAATGTTTGAAAGAAAAAGGAAACATCATTGACCGGGGGAGTGGTCTTGGTTGAAGGCATTCAGCCAGATTGCTGTGAGCATGTGGTGAGAGAAACCTTTTGCACTACATTCACTTAACTTGTTAAGTTAGATATTGTGTTTTACTTTTTGATTCTTTGTAACCAATTCTGACTTTGATGCCTCATTACTTGTAATCACTTAATCTGATTATCTTATATCTTATTTTTGTACATGTATCATTCTTGTATGTGAAGCTAGACATATGAAGTGTGAATCTGGCTATTTAGAGATACTTTAGGGACATAATGGTTCAGTACTCAAAACAACAACCTGTGAATAGTCTTGTTTATCCTGTAAGCCCAAACTACAGATGGTCCTAGAAAGACATGTGACCATGCCACCTGATATTGGAATCCATCTTGAATCTAGTACTTTTCCAAGGGGAAGGGAAGTCTAAACAAAGGGTTCCTGCCCAAGATGAAAGTCTATTTAAGGAATGGAAAGCTAATAGGCTTTTATCTCCAGCTGGCCTTTGAAGTTGCCTCACCTACCCTAAGAGGATACACATGAAGAAACCTGGCAACAAACCTCAGAAAAGGTTCAGAAAAGAGCAATTAAAATGATTAGAGGTTTGGACCAGGTCCCATATGAGGAGAGGCTAAAGAGACTGGGGGTATGTCTACTCTTGCAGCCTATTTCGGAATAGGGCTGCAAATGTAGGCATTTGGAATTGCAAATCAAGCCCGGGATTTAAATATCCTGCGCTTGATTTGCATCTTTCTGGCCAGGCACTATTTTTTGAAATTTACAAGCTCGGAATAACTGCCCGCATCTACACGCGGCAGTGAAACGGGCGTTCGAAATAAAGCCCTATTTCGAACTACCTGTTAAACCTCATTGCAGGAGGAATAGCAGGTAGTTCGAAATAGGGTTTTATTTCCAACGCCCATTTCACTGCTGCGTATAGACGCGGCCAGTTATTCCGGGCTTGTAAATTTAAAAAAAATAAATAAATAAAAAAAAAAAGGTGCCCGCCAGGAAGATGCAAATCAAGCGCGGGATATTTAAATCCCGGGATTGATTTGCAATTCCAAATGCCTACATTTGCAGCCCTATTCCAAAATAGGCTGCAAGTGTAGACATACCCTGGGACTTTTCAGTTTAGAAAAGAGGAGACTGAGGGGGGATATGACAAAGGTATATAAAATCATGAGTGGTGCAGGGAGGGTGAATAAAGAAAAGTTATTTACTTGTTCCCATAATATAAGAACTGGAGGACACCAAATGAAATTAATGGGTAGCAGGTTTCAAACTAATAAAAGAAAAGTGATAGAAATGTAGCCGTGCTAGTCTGGTGTAGCTAAAACAAAATACAGGACTATGTAGCACTTTAAAGACTAACAAGATGGTTTAGTAGGTGATGAGCTTTCGTGGGCCAGACCCACTTCCTCAGATCAAATAATGGAAGAAAATAGTTACAGCCATATATACCAAAGGATACAATTTAAAAAAGTTTGTAGCTCGAGAGGTTAACAATATTATCCGGTGGGTTGAGGTTGTTGCTGTTGTAGCCTGTGGTGTGGAGCACTTTTTAAAATGTATTGTCTTTTCTTTGTTGTAGGGAATAGAAGTGTGTATAGTAGATTTCTTGTCTGGTGGAACAAAAGTCTTGCAAGGTGTCAGTTGGTGTGGATGTTTGTCTTGAAATGATTACAAGCAATTAGAAACACTCTCTCAGAGGACACCACTGCCAACCTGATAGCAGACCTATGTAACTTTGTTCTTACCCACAATTATTTCCAGTTTGAGAACAACTTATACCTCCAGATCAGCGGCACAGCCATGGGTACACGCATGGCCCCACAGTATGCTAATATCTTTATGGCTGACCTAGAACAACGTTTCCTCAACTCCCGTCCCCTTTTACCCCTTCTCTACTTACGCTACATCGATGACATCTTTATGATCTGGACGCATGACCAAGAGACACTGGAGACATTCCACAGAGATTTTAACAACCTACACCCCACCATTAACCTCAGCCTGGACCATTCCACACGAGAGATCCATTTCCTGAACACCACAGTACAAATCAACAATGGAAAATTAGACACCACCCTCTACAGAAAACCCACTGACTCATACAGTTACCTACATGCTTCCAGCTCCCATCCAGCACACACCACACGATCCATCG